CGCTACATCAACTTGCGAGCCGGGCGCGGTGAAACCGTAGCGGGAACGGCAGCATGGGCACGACAGGAGGGCGGAACAGCAGGCGACGTGAGCAGCCGCAATCAGCTCTCGCCCTGGGATGTGTTGCCTCGGGCTGTTCCCGCGGGGCCGAACTCTAGGAACGTGCTGTTCATCGCCTGCGCGCGGAACCATTCAGGATCTGGGCGCTATCCCTACTGACCGCCACCTGGTGGAAGAATAGGGGCCATGCTGCTGTAGCTGCGTGGCCGATTGCCGGGAGCGGAGCCGAACGAGAATCGGAACAACAGCTATGCGCACAGGCCGGCTTGCTCAGGCCGTCCGCGAGCATCTCCGCTCGACGAAGACGGTGGAGCTCGCTCTATTATCGCGCAGACAGCGAGAGCTCGAGCATCGGCGGCTGCCTCTCTGGCGTAGATGGCGCCGTGTCGGCATCGTCGGAGGCGCAAAGAACCCTCGCAATCTGTTTGCCGTTGTGGAGATGTGGCGGCGTCGCATGACGGCGAAAGCTCCAAGCAATGCACTCCGGGTCGCCTTAAGCCCCGTCAATTGGAAACGTCTACATCGCCGGACCTCGACAATCAGAACAAGATAAATTTCATAGATTCTTGCGACGCGGCGCTGCCAGCAGCATTGCTGTGTGGCGGCGGGTACGCCGGGCCCAACAGCACCCGGCACGCTGTACGCGGAGAACATCGTTCAGCGACCGGGGGGCCTCGCTTAGCGCCCCTGCGGTGAGCTGACGCTCGTACGTCGCCGACACCAAACAACAATTGCGTAAAGCCTCGTCAACCTTGAGAGAGAAAACCGCTGCGGCAGTTCAACGTCACAGAGCGCTGCTAGCGTAGCGGTCAAAGAGGTTACTCTGTCTCAGTCTCTAAGTGTAACCACGCAGGCTGATCTTCAGCTTCATCGGCGAGACAGTGACACACGACAGCTGCCGTGGACCGAACAAATGGAAGCATCACGTATGTCAACCCAATTCCAGACTCACGGTTTTCAGCATTCGCATGGATGCTCCCGCCGGGCAGTCGCAGTTGCCCTCACAGAGGGCGCTCCCAGTCGATGGCAAAGGTCACCCCTGCCAGACGATGCAACCATCGTTGTGAGGAAGACCGCAGAGGCCAGTTGCACGGGCAACCTGCGGCAGTGTGCGAGGCCAGATGCCCGCCATCGCTCTGCACGGTGGCTCCGTCTAGCTGAGGAAGCACGTTCACTAGACGTAGAGTGCACAGCGTAATGTGCTGCAGGCGGGCTCTCCTGTGTTATCAGTTGAAGTCCAATGGTCATGGCACATCGCGTGAAGGCTCGACCCCCTGGGTCAGCGGTGTATCGCGAAAAAGACGTTTGCTTATAGTTCTTTCGCCGTGAAACTCCTAGCATTGGATACCTACATTCTACACTGTATGCCGGCTGTGATACAAACTGTCTCACACTTGTGTACTACTACTGTAGGACTGAGTGACGTAATATTATTGTGTCACTTGATGTTGGCCAGTCCAGAAGTTTTGTTTAAATCAGGGAATAGCTAGTGCCATTTAGCTAAATGCTTGTTTTATAATTGAAAAGTAAAATATTATGGCCTTAACTTTAAGTTACTAGTGTCAAAGCACAGATATATTAAAGACATGTCGTAATTCAAAACACATTATATTTTCAAATGTATTTCACTATAGTTTTATAGAAATAAAGATTAAATGCTCTATATCTAACTAACGCTAAGTTTATGTTTTTCATGTGTATCTTAACTACTAAAGAAGATAGAATGTTATGAAATTCAAATATTTGAATATAATTGCTGCCATCTAAAATTCACATTCATGTCAGTAATTCAGTGTGGTTGTCAGTGTCATGTTGTGAAGAACCAACAATTCATCCTTACATCCAATGCATTAGAATTTACATCAACCCAATCAAAGCTAGAATCAAGGAAAATTATTTAAGAAATAATCCAAAAGCTAATAGAACCTATATCGTGTATATGGATGCGCAGCATTGACTGCATTAATGTCGTTCTGTTCTGTAGTCCTTAGGCGTTTAATAGTAAGGTTATAGATGGTCAGCACAGTACATGGGTGCTCACAGTAGGTACTGACAGGCATCATCATCGACAATGACAGGTAAATATAGGCTATCTTGTTAATACATTGATACACTATACAATGTGCACAATTGCCATGGTATGAAGTGATGCGCAGACAATTTCATAATTGTAGCCACAATTTGTATGTCCTATAATTAGCACAAACATTAAGCTGTACTATACTAGCGACATAGCGTACTTGCTTATAAAGAAAAATTGCCTAAAAGTAATCGAAGCCACAAGTATAACCTACTGCCGTTGAACTGCGCCCATG